TTCTTCCCCCCCCCCCCAGATATATAGTTATTCAAAAGAAACAGGCGAAATATTTCGCATTTCGCCAAGAAAAAGGCACTGGGTTATAAGAGACCAATTCTTTTGCGATATATGGGATAAAATAATTTTATTAAGTACTGTAGTTTCCAAATAGAAAATCCATTACAGTTTGTTACCACTCGTTTTAAATACAAATATATAAATCATTTATAGTGTTAGTCTTCGCATAGAGAATTCATTTCATTTTTGCCATGTTATTAAGTGCGCTGCCAGCCTTAAACCATTCAATTTGCGTCTCGTTAAACGTGTGGTTCAGTGGGAATTGTTCTTGACTGCCATCCAGGTGGGTTACTTCGCACGTTATTGGCTAAAATAAGCGAGAATAGTACTTAATATAGCTGCATTTTTGCGCCAATTTTAAAATGATCGACTAATGAACTCACGAATAAACTTACCTTTCCTGGGGCGAAATCTTTCAGACCGAGAAGAGAAATACGGTCTGTCGGTCTGATTTTATCATAGTCACCTGGGTCGTTGAATGTCAAAGGTAACATGCCTAAAATGTAGCAAAAATATTTGCTTCATCCCATGATCAAATAATGCGTGTCAATAAAACGTTGATGTGCACTTACCCTGCTTTTTAAGGTTGGTTTCTGTAATATATTGAAAAAGAAATATTGATTTAATAGAAACTAAACTAAACCACTAGCATAAGAGAGTATTTATACTGGATAGCGTTTAAAACATTTCTAATCCGTTCTGACCAGTCTCCTAACGATACAGTGTTACGACAGAAGGAAACTGATTTTACCATCAAAGGGATACATCTATCCCGAATAACTCTATCCGACATCACCGTAGTGGTCCAGTAAGACCTTATTAGTGCAGTACCTCCAAAGGAGGAAACCAGAGTACCCCAAGAATACACACGGTATTTGGCAGAGTCAAAGTGTGGAAGCATTCTTCTCACATGTGACTGGGAGGAAATTATAATCAGACAACTGTATACTGCAGGAAGCAAACCCTGTGCCACCACGACTTACCATGAATTCGAGCAAAGCTCCTGACAATGACTGCTCGGCCACCAAGATGTCTGGGCTCTAGGGCGGCATGTTCTCGACTGCTGCCTTCACCATAGTTCTCATCACCAACCACAACCCAGTTCACACCGTTTGCCTAGAATTGAACACGAAATAGTCAGACCAGAACACGAAATGGTCAAATCAGAACACGAAATCAAAAGATCAGAACACGAAATCAAAAGATCAGAACACGAAATCGTAAGATCAGAACACCAAATCGTCGGATCAGAACACGAAATGGTAAGACCAGAACACGAAATAGTAAGATAAGAACACGAAACTTTACAATCAGAACACGAACGGTAAGGTCACAACACGAAATGGTAAAATCAGAGCACGAAATCGTGAGATCAGAACACGAAATTCATATCTTCTAGTAGTATTTCAAGCCATACGAAACCTTGTAATGCCTAGCTGTGTCAGGTACAGGACCGTATTCTCCGTTGAGTTGACTCCGAACATTGTTTGCTTCCCCATTCTCTTCATTGACAGCCCTGGAAAGATGGAAACAAAGTTTATGATTAGTGGAATTATAGATAAGTAAGTACGTCATCCTAACTTGCAGCTGAGAGCTAAGCTGTATTACGAAAGACGCAGCTCAACCTGATCTAAGGGTGTCTCCGGCAGTCACCTCATGTCTGATCACGGCGCACAACTACGGTGGAAGGGTGAGTTAGGGTCTAAGCCCAACTCAGTCACAGGGTTAAAGTCACATGTACTAGCCACTGTCAAAAAACTTACGCGATGAACATATTATTGGAGATGTTATCCAAGTGACCACGGTATTTCAACCATGGACCAGCAGCACTACACGAAATGCAAACAAATTATCATTGCTAATATTCGTCTAAACAACAAAACTGAATGAGTATCCTGGTTGGAAAGGCTGCATAAAAAATGGCATCCCACCTTATGTGATCAGTCGTACACTTGCCAGTGATCTAGAAAGAAGCACACACATGGTTTGTCAACAGATATGTTTAAATACGGGTAAAATAATGAAGTTTCAATCAGTATTTTATTAGCAGCAATGAGTGATGGAAAAGACCGTTATTGCATGCACCTTGATTAAAATGGGCAATTCCACGAGATCGTTGCCATCCCAGGAATCGAAAGGTTCTAACAGTTGCAGACGATTGCTGAGAAAAAAGAAAGTGAGAAATAAGTCAGCTAGTCTAAGAATCTGTAAATAATAACAATGAAAATAATTTAACCGTGTTACGATTTATGACATGTGCAAACTATGCATTGAGTACCTGCTTGGGTCAACATCAACTTTGACGCCAGAGCCATCGGATGGGGGATCCTGGTAAGTGTCTTCACCTGGGTCGAACCCCTTTAGAGAAGTAAACAAAAACATTGATATCTAAAACTCAATATGATTTTTAAATACGTTTTCTATCACTACATACACGAGATGGAAGTTCGTCACCCTTGGGATCTTCAAGTTTGAATTTTTCACCTAAAATAAAAACAGCACAAGACTTCAAGACATTGAAGGGTTTTATGGGAATACTCATATTTATGAAGTAACAGGGAACAGTTGCGAAAAATACCCTCGGGCAGGAATAGGAGCTGCGGTCTTGCGAGTAACTATTGCACTTGATGGTAAAGAGATATTTTAGACATACCGTTGGCTCCTTCCACAAAGTCCGCCATTGGATTGAACTTCAGACTGCCACCAAGTGCAAGAGCAGTCACAATCTAAATATATTAAATTAGAATTAGAAATAAGGATTAGAATTACGATGCGGATTCGGGCTGGGATTGGTGTAGTGACTGGGACTGTAAGGGTTAGAAATAATTTAAGAGTACGAAAGTGCTGCATGTAGATCGTCCCGGCGCATCCCTGAGCGACCTCATGCGTTCCCTACCTCTGGGGAAGCGACAAATGCATGCGTCTCTGGGTTGGCGTCATTTCGTCCCGTGAAGTTTCGATTGTACGAAGTAACAATGGTGTTCTTGTCGCCCTTCTTGATATCTTGTCTGGAAAACAAGAAAACAAGACCGTTGTCAGTGCATGCTTACACTATCTTTACACTCGCCTAAAACATGCAAATATGACCAGTACCTGTTCCACTGCCCAATGCAAGGACCACACGCGTTGGCTAACACTGTTCCTCCAAACTCTCGCAACGTTTCTGCCTATTAATCACAAATCACATTCATCACAACTAGAAAAAAACAGCATACCTCATGTAACAAAGTTTTAAATATCCTTACCACTGCATCCCGTTCAATGGTCGCTCTGATTTGTTCTGATCCTGGAGTCACAGTGAATAACGATCTACATAAAAAAACAAGACACTTTTATAAAATCTGATATTACGCCATTACTACCATAGTTACACTAGCTCACAATATAACTTACTTGGATTGATTACGCCATTACAACTATCGTTACACTAGCTCACAAAAACTTACTTGGATTGATTACGCCATTACAACTATCGTTAAACTAGCTCACAATATAACGTACTTGGATTCATTACGCCATTACAACTATCGTTAAACTAGCTCACAATATAACGTACTTGGACTGAACGCCGTGATCCAAAGCCTGTTTTGCAATACTTGCTGATCTTGTCATGTCTTCGTAGCTGCTGTTTGTACAACTGCCAATCAAGGCTGAAGAAAACGATGAAAGATAGGTTTCACAAAGCATCATCTACCGCCTTGCAACGCTTACTGAAACTCACCAATGTCGAGTGGTTTATGCCTAAAGCGAAACAGCTAAACAAATCCAGACTTTTGATGGAAATACTTACCTACTTTGATTTCCAATGGCCAGCCATTCTTTTCGGCAACTTCACCCAATTTGGAAATAGGCGTGCCCAAATCTGGCGTAAAAGGTCCGTTCACATGAGGTTCAAGCTGAAAACAACATCATACTTATCTTAACAAAAAAGTAATATTTAAGATGATGCTCTCCGAGTGTGTCCAGCAAGCTGAAAATGTTGCTTGAAAAAAAGAGTAACCATCTGTCTGCCTGCCAAGCTAAACCAATACCTCGTCTAAATTAATCTCAATCAATTCATCATATTCACATCCTGCATCAGCCTCCAGAATATGGATATTCTTCTGAGCCAAGCCACTGATATCTTCACGACCTGTTGCCTTCAGATAGTCAGCCATGCGCGAGTTAAATGGGAAGACAGATGTCGTCGCTCCGATCTCGGCTCCCATGTTGCAGATCGTTCCCATTCCTAACCGCAAAAAAATGCAGAACGAGATAGAATTATTCGAAGGGTAGACGCATTCTGGGCTGGCAGAGTGGTTCGACATTCTCGTACCCAGAGCCCTTCTTACGCGCGGTCAACGGAGCGCGACGAGGGGCTCTGGCAAAATCCAAACCGGATACCATAAAAACATGGTATCCGGTTAAACACTGCGCATGTTCAACTCTTATTGAGAATGCGCAGTGTTTAACCGGATATCATGTTTTTATGGTATCCGGTTTGGATTTTGCCAGAGCCCCTCGTCGCGCTCCGTTGATCGCGCGTAAGAAGGGCTCTGGGTACGAGAATGTACGTTGGACACACTGAGCTATAATAGCGAGGTTTAGCAAAGACGACGCGACGTCAACGAGGACGTGAAAATGGCGTAAATATGGCGTGGGCACATCCATATATGGGCATATCACGCCATATTTACGCCATTTTCACGTCCTCGTTGACGTCGCGTCGTCTTTGCTAAACCTCGCTAATATTACTGGAGGACGTGCTCCTATCTATCCTTCAGTCAAACGAGTGTCCGGAAAAACATGGCGGATTTTCATGTTTGCTGACGCCAATTGGTTCCTCCGGCTCATGGCAATTACCACTGACCAACCGCGATCCTGCGCTTGAAATAAAATCCTTCACCCCCCTGGTTTTTGCAAAAATTTTGATAATAATTTTCGAGTTTCGACCGAAAATTTTGATATTTTCGCAGTCGAGGAAAAAGTGTGTTAGTTTTAAGTTTTTAGTCTGCTTGTAGATGAAACAATTCACTCGAAGAATTATTATATTTCTTGTTTTCAGGTAAGATTCACGAAAGTTTTATTTCTTTTAATACTTTTTTTTAAATTCTAGCTTGCCAAAGCTTGGGCTGCTTGGCAAATATTTTAACTTGCCATTTCGATGGAAAAGGTAAAAAACTACCGTTATAAACAGCAAATGTATAATATTTCTATTTTCAACAATATCACAGCAGTTTTGTAATTCAGTTATCCTCTTTTTTCTTGTTCTTTATGTTCAGACTCATTCTCATATTAATTTTGTCTCATATCTTGGGTTCAAAATCCTTTTCTCGACTTGTTTTGTTTTATATTACTTTGAAATAATGAAATTCGCGATTGGTTTTAACTTTTAACTGCTAACTACCAGGTTTTTGTGGCAGTATTTACTTAGGATGCATGTCCACAACCTACCTTTTCAGTATAGCCTGCCAGTTGCCACTCTGGCACTTTCAAAAAATTCAGCATTTAAACCTTTAATTAAGTGATTAATTAAGGGGCACTGTGCCCTACTTTGTTATCTTGCTCAGTCCAATGCTAGATAATTTTATTTGTTAAAGAGGAAAGTACTGGTGCACTCAATTGCTTAATAATTTTAAGTCCATATTAAACATCATTTTTATTATTTGGATCACCCCTCTACATTGTCACAGCTGTAACCTGTTTTGTAGCACAGGCTGTGGGAGTCTGAATCTTTTCTGTAATTCATGTAATGACCCAATATAGTTCAAGTGCTCTCACAAATCCAATGGAATTTGCTTATCCTGAGGCTGATGCTCAAGCATGAACAAGAAAAATACAAATAAGGTGTTTGAATGCAAGGGCTGTTGCAGAAATAACTTTATTTGATCATTTCCATTTCACAATAACATGTTTATTATATACAAAGAATGTCAAAGACCATATTCTTCACACTGAACATCTATATTTACATAATTATATTGCAGTGTAAGGATGTATCTTAATGTAATGTTACATTCTGATATTCTGTCATTCATTTTGCAGGTAAAATCATTCACAGGTACCACAAGACATATCACAATGGATCAAAATGCTGAACAGCCAAAGCAAAATCATACCCATCTGGCTACAAAGTCATAATAATAACTTGTCTGGATAGTTATATCACTGCTAACAAAATTAATTCTTTCTAATAATTGATAATTCTTTAATAAAGAGGTTGAATTACTATGAACTGTATCACCATCAAATAATTCTGCAATTAGACCAAAAAGAGATTATATAATTAAAATGTTGTAAATTAAAGTTTTCACTACAGACAAAAGAAGTGAAGAAAGGAAATGAGAAAACAGCTTAAGCCACCACACTATTTAAAGGCTTAAATGTATCATGCATGCAACTACCTCAAAAATAATACTATAGGTCTTTCACCTGAAATGTTGAAGTTCATTGATTTAGTTAGTTTCAGGTAGTTGCATCATACAGGGGTGCACAGAGAGAGGACTGAAATGAACAAAACCCCAAATAAATCCACCTGCATGGACTGGAAGTGACATTATCTACCAATTAAATTGTTTCTGACTTGATGTCTGACTAGCATGTGTGACTTTCTCAGTTCTGGCCTGTATAATGAGATCCAGTGCAACCCTATAATCTAGATACTTTGCTTATACCTACACTTGTGATTCGTACCCAACATTCAGGAAGTACAATCCTATTTCTAGTGGTTCAAGAATCCTCAATTCAACATGACAGTCAGAAATCTAGGTAGAAATCATATTACCAGATAAGTTGGCCACAGTATCCTGAGCTTCTGGCACCCCTAGGCTAGCTTCTACTGGCACCCTAGATTATGCATACTATAATAAACACGGACTCTAGCATATATAAACACAAAGAATATAGATAGAAGCACATTGTTTCATGCCTTTATACCTGTATATACACTTATTTAGCACATACAATTGCATAAAATCAAGCATGTCAGATTTCAGCCATCAGTCCATATAGTCTATATAGAAAACCCCTTTGATTTGAGGGAAAAAACTGATTTAACTGAATTAAATAAAACAAAATTTGTTTAACAAAAACCATGGTCCGCCAACAATTTAACAAAGCTAGTAAAGTAAAAAAAAAACAAAAAAAACTTTGAATATAAAAACAAAGTTTCTGTATTTGTCAGTAGCCTACGACAAGACTTTGAGTACACGGCGGAAAATAATACATTATACTATACAAAGAGCCTGTTATCTAATGGATTATATTCTACCATTTACTCCCACTATCATTCAAAAATTAAAAATAAAAGCATATCAATAGTATGTGAAAATTTACCTGAATAGCTGTGCCATCAAATATCGTCTTTGCCTAAATTTTTCGGGGCTTTCATATCGGTTTTTTGTCTTTCGCGGGTGAGAATAGCGTGTACGACTTTTAAATCTTTGAACCAATGGTCAAAAGTCGAAAAAATATAAAAAAAACAACGAGAATTTACTGCAAAAACGTCGAAAAGCAAAAATATTTTTGATAAAACCAGGGGGGGTGAAAATTGTAGCGGGCTCAGAATTGAGCCTGGTCAGTGGTAATTTCATGAGCCGGAGGAACCAGTTGTCATGGAAATGGCGTCATATGGCGCGAAAATCCGCCATGTTTTTGCGGACACTTTTTTTGCCGAGCACTTCCTCCAGTAATATAGTATAGCTCAGTGGTTGGACACCTGCAGTTACTGGACTTCTAGGAAAACAATTTAGAACTAATGGCGCTATGGCAGCCTAGCTCTAGGCTCTCTCTCGCGCGTTGTTAGCTATGCTTGATTGATAGGGATAAGAAGGGGTACATGCGCGGTGACGTCGCAACTAACTGACATCATACCTAAGCCAGTCAGTCTTAT